ATATATATATATATATATATATATATAAAGTTGCAGAAATGTTTATGGTTACTTATATATATATATATATATCGCTTGTAAAACTTAGAAAAACTTACAATTCCTGTGAAATGCCTTCCGATTTTGTTATCTATCGGGGAATACCAAAGCTACGTTGCCCACTCAGAACATTGCCCAGAAAATAAAAGTAAAATTGTATGACAATCACGCAATCACGTGGCACCCACTTGGGCAAGAAGAAGATAGAGAAAATGGACTTTATAACACAATTTATATAGCAACAAACTATATTTTACGTTTCAGGTTCCAACTGTTCTTTACCAAAGATATTCCAGAGGTGAGTGAAACAAGTTTACTTAGTTCTTCGAAGTTCTTCATAATTAATTCGCTTTCAAACCTCTTAAAAACAAAAATCTTTGATTTTCTTCTTACAAGGCTACGCGTAAAGAAAAGAAAATAGTTCTAGTGCAGTTTTCGTATGACTGTGAAAAGTTCACGGCACGAACACGGTCGTGACACAGCAAGGGATACGTCAGACAAATCACACTGCACGAGAATTTACTCTCCATCCAATCAAATACCCGGAACATGACATAAACACGGCGCGGACACGGTCACGCCAAGATCACGGGAGTTTTAGGCCAATCATATTGCGCGTGAAAAAAATCAGCCAATTAAAATTCTAGAAAGTATCACGGTCACGGCACGTCACGCTTACGGCACTGAGCTTTTCACAGTCATACGAAAACTGCACTAATCTTTGGGTGTATGTTACGTCAACGCCGCCTTGTTGGTTGAAGATAGCAAATCATTGCTCATTAACTTAGCTTTTTTTAACAACATCACGGCTGCATGTTTCATAGCTATTTACATCTCGAGGATTTTTTAGTCGTGTGGTAGCACTCCTAGAATTGGCCGGGAATTTGGATATTATTTTTATGAACGTTAATACCTATGATTTATATTTGCGTGTTTTATATATTGTGTGTTTTTTCTTCTTCTTCTTTTTTCGTTTGACGGATATATCATTATAATAATATATACGTTGCCTTTCTTTAATCGCTCTAAATTTCATTTTAGGAAATCAAGTCCCTTGTTTTACCAGTTTTAAAAACCCACAACAGTCAAATTACCAACAATGTCAACGGTGAGTTCGATAATCAAAATTGCAAGTTTTGGTTATTTTGTTATTGGGCCAAATACATTTATACTGGATAAAACGTGGTGAATAGTTAAAACTCGTATGTAGTGCCTCCAAAAGCCCCTTCATCGATAGAGTACCTCGAGTCACCAACTACGTGATTGGCCTTTCTAAAATACTAATCAAGCTCGTGTTCCAAGCATGGGTCACTGAGAGCTATTGATATGCTAGACATAAGCGAAAAACTTCATGCTTTGTATACAAATTAGTCCAAAACGTCTACTATGATACTCCATTTCCATCTCTCAATAGACCCCTTGCATGTGACGTCAAAGCAGCTCGATCTGAGGTATAAAACAAAAGAATTTCAATCTCCTGAGAATTGGAACCTATTGTTTTGTCCCCGCTCAGATTGAGCTGCATTCCAAAGTACTGCAAGGGGTCTACTGGAGGGCATTGGCCGAGAGATGTCTGATAAAATAGTAATTAAAAAAGATAAAATCAAACTTAATATGTTCTTGGTCGTAATTTTTTAAAGGATTTTTCAACAAATTGGTACCTCTTCCAATGATATATTACATACACTTCACCAACAAGCAATTTATACGTAAAGAGGTGAGTCTTATAGGAATGGGCGACTTGTACTAACACGTCACGTGACCTTGCCCCAGCAATTGACCTTGACCTGTGAGTGCAATTGCCTGCCAAATAACAAAAGACACAGCGGCCATGTTGGTTGTTTATAACAAAATAATTACTTCATTGTAATGTCATTGATAATTCTTTTGTTAAATGATAATATGTTAATAGGTACTAGTATTAGCAAAGCATAGGGACCAAAAATGACATCTTTAAACTTTGGAGGAAATGAAATTGCAGTAGAATCAGTGCGCGTAATATTCAATGTTCAAAACCAAGTCAATTCTTAGATTGCACGCTACGTCATCGCGGCCTCTCGGGGAATCGTTGATGCTATTTAACGAAAGATTTCTTATTAGCATCCATTGTTAACGGCACCAACATGGCCGCCATGCTTTTGTCTTTTAACTCTATTGGGAATGCTTGCAAACCATTAATTGATAATATTAATACTATTATTATTTCAGGGTTACACGGTCTTCGAGTCAGATGTTACAATGTAAACAAGTGCGCCCACAGTGCTTCGAAATTCATCAATTCATTTTATTTTCATTTTGCTCTGATTGGTCTGTATGATTGGACTTTTTCCAGTTCGTAAAATATCACTTGTGATTACAGTCTAATTACTCGGGGTTAAAATCATTTCAGTGTCAAAATATTTACCAAGTATAGAATACACAACTATGATAATACGAACACTTTGAAATTAATTCCACGGACCTTCACTGGAACACATGCTTATTCTACACAGAATTTAGATTTCGTACATGACTGTAACACGGTATGGTACACAGCACGAATACGGCATGGAAGTGGCGATATATGAACCAATAACAGAACACCAAATCACTATTATCCTATTAAAAGGCATATGTTTGGAAAGCGTCACGGTCAAGGAACACGTCCATACCATCCGACAGTAGTACGAAATCTCCTCTAATTGTATCTTGGATGCAGTTTAAATTTCGTCTTACCCTACTCCCCTGCATCAACTAGCGCGCGCGCGCTCTTTCCGTTTGTTGTTTAGATCACCAAAAACGAGATCAAAATAACAAACGAAAGCGGCGCTTGTTGATGCACGGAACTAGGAGGGGGAGGCATCGTTTATCACTGAGAGTGTCGATAAAGACAATAGCAGATATCAGAGTTACACTCTATTCGCTTTTGGGCGCCAGTTTCTATAATATTCATCGAATAGACTTATCCCAAATTCGCTTGACTGACCACAAAACAATGGTTTGAAATCGGGACTAAACTTGATTCTTTTATTCATCAAGTTCAACCTCGACTTGAAACCATTGTTTCGTGACCAGTCAAGCGAATTCGGGAAAGGTCTATTGACCAATGCTTCGAATTGATTTGAAACATTTGTTCGGAAGTAATAGAGTGTAATATCATCCCCTATTTCATCATTCTGGTATACAAATAAGCACCTTGTTTACTGTATATAGCATTTGAAATTTAGYCAAACCAAATTCTAAACTTTAACTGTATCAGACAAATGGGGACTTATTAGGGCAACTGTAGCATTTTGAGACAAAAAAATTCCATCCGTACCATACTTCAACAAATATTATATCATATTTATTCATATTTTTTGTATTATTATGTGAGCATGTTTTGGGGTATACATCAATTTACTATCGGGTTAAAATGATTTCAAATATGAACCACATTTAATAAAAGTGTTTTAAATCAAATTTAGTTTTGGAACTGTATGGATTCATAAATGAAGACTTCATTAAAAAAAAATTGAATTTGAAAGTTTTTTGTTTGTTTTTTTTATTTATTTATTTATTTATTTTTTGTTTTTTTGTTTTTTGTTTTTGTTTTTGTTTTTGTTTTTTTGTTTTTTTGTTTTTTTGTTTTTGAAATGCTTAAACTCAAGAAAACTAGCTTTTGACAAAAAGTGCTAAAGAATAAATAAAATAATAAGAAATAATACGTTTTCAACAGACTTTATTCTTAAAGAGAATCTATATTTTTTAACAACCAGGGTTTTATGAATTAGGGAAATTCTGTATTCCTCACCAGCATATCTGCATGTTTCCTGTTTCTCTACTCTCTCTACTCTCTCTCTACTGTCTCTCTACTGTCTCTCTACTCTCTCTCTCTCTCTCTCTCTCTCTCTCTCTCT